TACACGTAACCGAACTGGCACATGTTTCCCTGGGGGGCATGTATGAGACAGGAAATCGCCCGATGAGGGAACGCATCGCGCCCCCCCCTCCGGGGCATGTAACCCCTGGGGCGAGCGACGCGCAATCGAAACTCCCGCGGAGGGGCCTCCTCCTGGGCCCGCAGTGGCTGGGGCCCAGAGGGATTTCCAACCCAGGGAGGGGCATGTCTGGCTGGCACGGGAAATAACTTCCTCGGTCACCAGCTTGTGCTCCTGAACGAGCACAACAGGCGAATTGACTAGAGGTAACCAATCCTTAACTGACTTCCAACTGTTGCCATTCACCGTGGTCGCGGAAAAGGTGAAAAGCAGAAACAGATGGCGGAGGAAGGGGGGAGGGAGAGAGAGAGAGAGAGAGAGAGAGAGAGAGAGAGAGGAGAGGGAGAGAGAGAGAGAGAGAGAGAGAGAGAGAGAGAGAGAGAGAGGAGAGAGAGAGAGAGAGAAAGAGAGAGAGAGAGAGAGAGAGAGAGAGAGAGAGAGAGAGAGAGAGAGAGAGAGAGAGAGAGAGAGAGAGAGAGAGAGAGAGAGAGAGAGAGAGAGAGAGAGAGAGAGAGAGAGAGAGAGAGAGAGAGAGAGAGAGAGAGAGAGAGAGAGAGAGAGAGAGAGAGAGAGAGAGAGAGAGAGAGAGAGAGAGAGAGAGAGAGAGAGAGAGAGAGAGAGAGAGAGAGAGAGAGAGAGAGAGAGAGAGAGAGAGAGGAGAGAGAGAGAGAGAGAGAGAGAGAGAGAGAGAGAGAGAGAGAGAGAGAGAGAGAGAGAGAGAGAGAGAGAGAGAGAGAGAGAGAGAGAGAGAGAGAGAGAGAGAGAGAGAGAGAGAGAGAGGAGAGAGAGAGAGAGAGAGAGAGAGAGAGAGAGAGAGAGAGAGAGAGAGAGAGAGAGAGAGAGAGAGAGAGAGAGAGAGAGAGAGAGAGAGAGAGAGAGAGAGAGAGAGAGAGAGAGAGAGAGAGAGAGAGAGAGAGAGAGAGAGAGAGAGAGAGAGAGAGAGAGAGAGAGAGAGAGAGAGAGAGAGAGAGAGAGAGAGAGAGAGAGAGAGAGAGAGAGAGAGAGAGAGAGAGAGAGAGATGAGAGAGAGAGAGAGAGAGAGAGAGAGAGAGAGAGAGAGAGAGAGAGAGGAGGACCCCACAAAGGCCCTCTGGTCTCGACTGCCAAACTTGCCGAACAAAGCTGAAGATGCCCCCCCCCCCCCCCCACCCACCCACCCCGCCAGGCTGAGCCCGCGGGGGGGGGGCGCCCATTCTGATCGCGGTCACGATGCTCGCCAGCAAGCGTCTCCGCAGACCGTCTGTCGACCATGGCCGCGATGCGCCCGACCTCATGGCGCGCGCGCTGGACCGCGGGCTGCGGGAGACCCTGCGAACCCCCAAGAGGGGCCTGCGAGCTGCCTGAGTCGTCGGCATCCCCGTCTGGAGAAGGCGCCGCTGACGAACCCGCAGCAGCTCCTGAGGCCCCCCCCCCTGCAGGTGCAGCTGTCGGGGTGGCCTCGCCGTCGTTGCCTCGCCGGCGCTTGGGCTGGAGCCTCGCCAGGTAGGCAGCATGCTCTGCGCGAACAGCACCTGCCTTCTCCATGGCGGACTCAAAAAGTGCCTTGGCAATCTCAGAAATATTTTTAAAACTGCTGACGGCGGCGATTGGCTTCCTCCAAATCCTGCGGATCGAGCCCCTCGCCGACAAGATCCTCGCTGAACAGCCCGCCGTCGTCAATGGTGATGTTGTTGGCCTTGCCTTCCAACAGCTCACGCAAGCATAGTGCGGGCCCAGCAACATCCTCTGAGGGCTTGGGCGGCACGGTCTCAACCGCGAAAGAATGTAATCGCTGAACCAGCTCCGTATGCTGCTGCTGCTGCTGCTGCATGGCCTTGTGCTCTCGTCCCAGGTCTGCAAGGAGCTTTTCCTGCCGACCCAGGCTTTTCCTTCCATTTGACGTATCTGTTGAGCCCCACCTCCATGCGCTTGTCGAGCTTGCCGAGCTGCCAGTGAAGGTCATTGACCTGCTCTGGAAGTGGCTTGGGCGCGACCTTCGGTACGGAAACGACCATGGCGTCAAGCTTGGCCTGGTAGCGCTCGACTGTGTCCGTGCCTCCCTCTTTCTTGGCGACGGCGATGACCAACTGCAAATCCTTCGAACCCAAGGGGCCCTCGGTGCAGTATGCCACTCCGCCTCCGCCATGACCTGGAGGCTGGATCCCTGGCTGGAGAGTGTGCCGCTGCCACCGACCAGGAGGAGCCTGAGGACCAGGAGCGAGAGGACTGCCACGCTGATGACTCCATACCCCGCGTGGCTGAGGCTGGGGCATGGGGAGCGGTAGCGAACGCGTCGAGCCGCAACGCTTGCAGACGCTACTCGTGTTGCTGTTCTTTCCGCAGCCACACGATATGCACTTCCACTTGCCTTGCGGTCCTGCGTCCCGTCCCTGCTGCTGCTGAAACTAGGAATACCATTGCTGTCCAGGGAGGCTGCGAAGAGGAGCCACACCAGGATCCGCAGCCCCCGCCATGGCGCATCGCAAAAACTGAGAGAAGCAGGGCGTAGTCGAATCGACCCACAGACACCCTGCCGTTCTGAATCGAGTGCCTGCAAAACCCTTTGAGCCAAAATGGCTTGAGCCAAAATGGCTACGGAGGTGCCTGGGGATGATGCGCTATGGGAGGGAGGTGTGCGAGAGAAGGGGTGGCGACGGGGCTGGGGGATGAAAGGGGGAGGAGGGGAGGAGGACATGGGCCCAGGAGGAACTGCAGCATCGGTACCAGCATCACAAGGACGAGGAAAGCGGGGGGGGGGGCAGAAAGAGGTGGGATGACTGCGCATGGCCGTAGGGGAGGGGGGGATGGCGAGGGCGCAGATGGGAGGGGGCGTGTCGGGCGGAGGAGGGCGAGGAGGAACGACGCGCAGTGGCAGAAGGAGACAGGAAAGGGGCATGATGAGGAGGGGGGCTTGATGAGGAGGGGCATGACGAGAAGGGGGGGAATGGGATGGGCACTAGGAAAATGAGGCGAAGGGGACGGCGCATGGGGAGAAGGAGGGGGATGGTGCGTGAGGGTGGGGCGGGCGCCAGCTAGCTCTCATCTGGGTGGTGTTCTGCGTGCCCGTGCAACACCGTAGAACAGGAGTGACGGCTGCAGAGCAAGGCTATCAGGGTCGTCGTGTGCGGCGTGCGTCCAGGCCAAACGCTCGAGTCCACGACGCTCCTCTGCGTCGCGTTGATCCTGCCCGTCCTCGCCAGACCGAGCATGCACAGATAATTAGGCTGAACATGTGCTTGAATGTTTGCCCCATGACCCACACTCTAATAGCATATCAACGTTGGAATCGAATTCAACATAGTTCCAGCAGCTCCACGGAAAGCGACATTCACCAAGGGCGCCTAACCTTCGCACTTCGCGCTGCACGAAATGCGAATAACTTCGCACGTCGCGCCGCCCCCCAGAGGAGAAGAGGAAGAGGAATCGGAGCCGAACCGCGGAGCGCGAATAACTTCGCGCCCTCGGGGGCGCCCTTATTCACAAGTGCGGCACTTGCAACTGCATATGGTTGGGACCTTCGCCAGAATCTGCTTTCCCCGTCACGGTCGTTACCGGGGAGCGGGGAGGTTGGGGTCCCAGGTAACAGTAACGCTTGGGCTGCGTGGGAAAGGAGGGCAAATTGGGGCCTTCGGGTTGGGTTGGAGTGGCGTGGTGGGTGGTGAGTTCTTGGCCCTCGTGCCAGCTGTCGCCCGCCTCGCGTTCTCGGGTGGGGCCCGCTTGAAGCAAATTGGTTCTGTAGACGGCCACGGTGCTCGTGGCGGGCCCCGTGGCAGCCGAAGACGGCGAGATCACCTCCTGGGCCCGTTTCTCTCGGGACTCGTCTGCCTCGTTGCGAGGCTCGGGGCTGTCGGCGAGGGCGGCGCCCTCCTGGCGCTTCCTGTGAGGCCCGGGGCACAAAACCTCGGCCCTCGAACTTCGAATCTCTGGGGCGAGAGCTCCAAGAAGCGAACCCAAATCCGCCCCCGGCCCCTGGCGGAGCTCCGTCCTGACCAGTCCAGTCCTTCTCCGCGAACGAACCACAACGACACAACAAGAGGCGCGGCTGCGTGTCGCGTGCATCAACGATTGCTCGCTGGCGCGAGAAGATGCAGCAACTTTGGCTTCCTTTTTGGGAGCGCCCTCCGAACACAGCCCCGGGGACCGAGCACGGCCCGCCGAGAACAGCGAGCAACGCTGGATCCCTGAGCTGCCCCCTCGGAGGTCAGCGGCTCTGCTCTCTCCGCCTGCAGGCCCGCGGACAGCCGCGATGGGGGAGCAGCGACCGAGAGTCGGCGATGCACCGCCGACAGATCGCCGATGGGCCCACAGTAGCGAATCCGCACGTTCCTGTGCGGGGTGGGCTATCAGGCCCCTGTCGGCGGTGAGTGGGCGATTGGGGATCGATGCATCCCCCTTCTGCGGCAATTCACGGGGGCCTCACGTGTCGTCTTGCTGGCCCTTGCGAATCGACGCTGGCCAACGCTAATCGACCAGAATGGACGCTGAATCGATGCGAATCGACGCTAATCGACGCTGACACGGCGCGCGCTCATCGATTACCAGACGCTGGAGCGCGCGAAGCACTGTAGAGACGGAATTCCGAAGACATACACGGCCACCATGAGATGCTGCCGAATCCCCGCTGAGACGATCATCACCCCCTAGCGTTGCCCCTGGGCCGAAGTAAGAACGCAACTCACGGACGTTTTTGGAAGTCCCGATGGCGCCCAATCTCGCACACGATAGTGCACAAGGCGGACGCAATGCATCTCCCTCATATGGAGCCATCGGGTGCTACTGGGCTCCATGTTGGGTACTATTCGGCGCCCTTTGAACACTGTCGGCGCTGCCGGGCGATATTGGGCGCTTTTCGACGCGACTCGCGGCCACACATTTCACACAGGAAGAGCGGCAAGCTCCGCGAGCTGCTGCCAAAACCAGGGGGGGGCGCAGGCGGGCCGCGCCTGCCGCCGCTCTCCCACTCCGCGACGTGCTCCCGCAGCATCCTCTCGCAGTCCTCGCGGCCGCGGAGGCAGGCCCTCGGAGGCGGCCCGCGGCGACGACAGACGAACGACCACGACTGCGACGACGACGGTGGCGAGAGATTGTCTTCCATCCTCCAGCGCGTAACGGTCGCCTCCCCAAGCAGAATCCCCCCGCGGGTAACGGCAACGATTGGACTTGCGGGGGGGGGGGGGGGCGCTGGACCTCCCCACAAACTGGTGCTCGCGCGCGTACTTCGGCGATCGTAGCGCACTCCGCCCCGACGTGCCCCATATCTCCCAGACATGATCGTTACCTGGGACCCCAATCTCCCCCCCGCGGGTAACCACCGTTACGGGGAATCACAAGAAACAACTATGGCGAAGGACTCAACCATACTTAGGCAGTTGCGAATACCGCCTTCAATGGAACTTAATATGGGGTCACGAGACGTAGGAGAGGGGTGACAACATGGGCCTGGGTAAGCATGCGTGCCCTGCCAGTGGAACCATTAGTGCAATTTCCTACGGGTCTACGAAGCGTGTGATGGGTGCGCCGAAATTCACCTGTGGACGCATGTGAGCTGCGCCGCTGGTACCTCCAGTGGAGCTCCCATTGGGGCCACGCAACGTTTGCGGGGTGTGTCGAAATGAATGGAGAAACTCATGCGACTCCCCCGTTTGCGGGTTTCGGTGGAGGTCCATGTCAGACTACGAAACGTGTTCAGGGTGTGCCAGAATGGGTGAGAACCCTGTGCAAAGCCCCCCCCCCTGGGGGCTGCGGTGGAGCTCCATGTGGGGCCACGAAGCGTGTCAGGGGTGTGCCGACATCGCTGCGATCCGCATGCGACCCCCTCTCTCCTGGGGGCGTCTGTGGAACTCCTGGTGGGGCCACGAAACGTGTGCGGGGTGCGCCGAAATTGCTAAGAACCGCATGCGAAACACTCTCACCTGGAGGTTCTGGTGGGACTCACTGTTCGGTGGAACTCCCCGTGGGGCCACGGAGCGTGTGCCAAAATGGGCAAGAACCGCAGGCGAGCCCCCTCTCCCGGGGGATTCGGTGGGACTCCCCATGAGGCCACGAAGCGTATCAGGGGTGTACCGAGATTGGCAAAAACCACGTGCAAAACCACCCTTTGGGGGGCCTCTGTGGAACCGCATGCGAACCCCATCTCCTGGTGGGCGTGACTGGAGTTCCCTGTGGGGCCACGAAGCGTGTCAAGGGTGCGCCAGCATGAATGAGATCCGCGTGCGAAGCCCCATTCCTGGGGGGTTCTGCGGAATTCCCTGTGGGGTTGCGAAACATGTGCGGGGAGCGCCGGCATGAATAAGAACCGCATGCGATCCCCTCCCCCAATGGGTTTCGGCGGAGTTCCGTGTAGAACATGAGAGGTGCGTCGAAATGGCTGAAAACCGAATGCGAAGCCCCCCCCTTCCTAGGGGCTTAAATGGACCTCCGTGTGGGGCAACGAAGCGTGCGAGGAACGTAACGACATGGCAAAAATCCGCATGCGGAACTCCCTCAATGGGGCGTCTGTGGAACTCCCTGTGGGGCCACGAAGCGTGTGAGGAGGGTCCCAAAAATGCCAAAAACCGCATGCGAAACCCTTTTCTGAGGGTTTCAGTGGTGCTCCCCGCGGAACCACGTAACGGGTGAGAAATGCACACATGGGTGAAAACGGCACGCGGCTCCACCTTCTTGGGCGATTCGGCCGAACTCCGTGGGGGGGCACGGAACATGTGAAGCGTGCGCCGAAATTGGCAATTAAAAACCGCAGGCGAACCCCCTCTTCTGGGGAACTTTGGTGGAACCCCCTTGACTGGCCACGAGCCGTGTCAAGGGCGCGCCGAAAGTGGTGAGATCCGCGCGCGAAATCCCATTCCTGGGGGCGTAGGTGGAGCTCCATGTGGGGCCACGAAACGCGTAACGGGTGCGCCGAAATAGGTGAGATCAGCATGCGAAGCCCTTTTTTCCTGGGCGTTTCGGTGGAACTCCCTGCGGGGCCACGAAACGCGTGAGGGGCGTACGGACACGGTTAAAAACCGCATGCGAAACTGCACTCTCAGGGGGCTTATGTGGAGCACCCCGCCGGGCAACGACCAACTTGGCAAGAACCATATACCCCCCTTCTCCTGGGGGGCTGCTACTGTGGAACCCTGGGCAAATGTGAGGGGTGCGCCGAAATGGGTGAGAACCGCATGCGCAACACCCTCTCCTAGGGAGGTTCGGTGGAACTCCCTGTAAAGCACGAGGCGTGTCTGGGGTGTGCTGGGCTGGATGAGATCAGCGTGCGAAGCTCCCTGCCCTGCCACGAGACCTGGCGGCTCCATGGTTGCCGTCGCCGCCCCGTAGCCACAACAAAGACTGCACCACATCGATGTTCTGCTATATTTTGGGGGATCGACCCGCCCCCCTTTTCGCATTGCAATTCGCATACGATTATGCCCCATCGTCCATCCTAAATACGAACCCGTACCCAGGCAGGCCCGCAACGGTTCCCCCATCATCCTCTGCCATATATATATGTGTATATATACACATATATATACACACGTATATATATATATATATATAAATGCACACATACATACATACATACATACATACATACATACATACATACATACATACATACATACGCAAGCACTCGTTCATCAATATCAGAAAAATCGAAAAACCTTTTTCCAAACTGAAGAGACGAAGTGCGCACGCGCGCGTCTTCTTGCTGGCGCATGCCGGGCTAATTTTACCACCTTCGGTGTCGTATGGATTCCCAAATCGAATGTCCTGAACACGCGTCCGAACACGTTGTTTCGCAACCGAACTGTTCAAAAAAACCTGCGCTCGCGATCTTGCAAATCAAAGGTGTTCATCGAAGCCTGCCAGATGGACCCCTCGCGCCGCATGCCGAACTCATTCGAGTGCGGGGGGCATTTCCGGGGACAAAAATGTTGTTTATCTTTATTTGTTCCAAACAAAAAAAACCACACAACGTTTCCAAACGGGCATCCCGTACGCGCATGTCGAAATCGTTCGAACGTCGTTGCGCGCGCATTGTCGCAATAACCAACGGCAACAGGACAAACGAAACACACGCGCGGGAAACGTCGCGCGCGTATGGATTATGTTGTTTGTATTCGCTGTTATCAAAAAATTGTTGAGAGAAAGAAAATCGTGGTACCCGTCAGGATTTCCAAAAAGATTGCCCCGACAACCTTTTTTAAATACATGATTCGACAACATCGGTTTTCAAAAAACCCTGCGCGCGCTCTGTCGCTATATGTTCCCCATGTGTAAACCATGTGTTTCGGCGGTGTCAACAAATTCTGCCAATCGGGCCTCTTGCGCCGCGTGCCGAACTCATCCGGAGACGCCCTTGCGCGCGCGCGCGCTGGGGGGCACGATCCGTCTCAAATAGAATCATGTGGGCCATTCGCGCGCGTCGGCCGCACGCGCATGCCGACCTCCTTCCAAAACCACCACCGACGAGAAGACATCGTCATCGTTATCGGCGGGCGTGATCGACATCGGCACCGCCATTGGCTTTGCCGTGGGCCCCGCCACCGTCGTCACCATCATCGCTACTCCCATCATCGTGTCCACCGTCGTCGGCGTCGCCATGATGCAGCGCCGACCCGCACTGAAATACACACTGGAAGTGCCCAGTGGTCAGCGCCACTGCGACCGCGTCGGTCGCGCCGCACTAGCTGGTCGCTGCGAGCGCGAGCATGCGCGGCCGCACATGTGCACCAGCTAACGCCAAGCAATCATCGCAATCGCCGTCGCATTGGCTTTGCAAACCAAGTTGCGGGTGGGCGGGTGGGACGTTTGCGCGAGCAGTGGAATTTACCTGTTCAAGAACGGCAAGGTGAATTGAACCGCGTAGTAGCTGACACAACATAATTTGCACATCGAATACTGAACCATATAGACGGCGCAACATTTACCGCCCCATATGGATTGCATCAGCTATACACTATATTGCGTCACGCAGATGGTACAATCTACACAACATTGTTTGAAGTCCACGCTAGCTGACATGCAACCTATGTGGTGAAATCAATCACCTGCTCAACTTGAAGCTGTCCTCTCCACTGCTCGTGCAAACATCCCACCCTCCCACCCGCAACTTGGTCGCAAGACCTCTTAAGACAAGACCGTGACGGTGGGTACCAGGTGGCACTTGGCCACGACACCGACGCCGACGACGACAGCGACGACGACGACGACGGCGCCGCCGACACCGACGACGACGACACCGACGACGTCTCCAATGACTTCGACGACGACAGCGACCACGACGACGACGACACCGACGACGACGACGACGCCGACGACGACGACGACGATGACAACGACGACGACGACGCCGACTACGACGACGCCGACGACGACGACGAAGACAACTACGACGACGACGACGACGTCGCCAACGAAGACGACGACGAGGCATGAGGGAGGACGACGACGGCGACGACGACGACAACGACGACAACGACGAGGGAAGAGGGAGGACGGCGACGACGCGAACGACGAAGAAGGAGGAAGGACGGCGACGCCGACGACGACAACGACGAGGGAGGAAGGAAGACGACGACGACGACAACGACGACGACGACGACGACGGCGACGCAACAGGAGGGACGACGACGAGACGCCGACGACGGACGACGACGACGACGACGGAGGAGGAGGAAGGACGACCACGGCGACAACGACGACGGAAACGACCACGATGTCAACGAGGACGACGACGACGAACACGAGGAAAGACAGAGGACGACGTAGGCGACGACGACGACGACGCGGGAAGAGGGAGGAAGGCGACGACGACGACGACGACGCAAGAGAGCGCGCGCACGCTTTTGTTGAAAATCCGTGTTGCGAAATCTTCGGTTTTTGTAGGTTCTTTGGACACACGATTTTGAAATCCTTCCGAAACCGATGGGTTTTGAAGGATTTCGGCATACGCGCGCGACGACGCGCGCGTCTGCCCTTTCGTCCCTTTTTTTGCAGAGGATTCTCGTGCCGACACACGCGCAAGGGCGTTCGACTGATTTCAACATGCGCGCGCGAAGCCCGTTTGGTAGCACGTTTTTTTTTTTTGTATATATATATATACATATACACATGTGTATATATATATGGTTTTCGTAGATTTTTTCGCACGAGCTCGCAGTGTTGCGAAGCCCTGTGTTTTTGTATGTTTTTGGGGAACTCGATTGCGAAATCCTTCTGGCACCGAGTTTTTGAAGGATTTCGGCATGCGCGCGCGACGACGCGCACGTGTGCACTTCGTCCAATTTTGTGCACGGGATTCGTGTTTTTTTTTTTTTGTTTTTTTTTTATTTTTTTAAAAAAATTTTTATATATATATATTATTATTATTAGTATTATTATTATTATATACATATATATATATGTATATATAATAATAATATATATATATATATAACAAAAAAAAACGTGCTATGTTGGAACAAAAAATGTCACCGCATAGTGTTTTTTTGTTTCCAGGGAGCCTCAGGGGGGGATGCCGGCCCCCTGGGGATAGTGCGGATAGTGCACATTCATATTTAGGATGGACATGTGGTCAAAATCACATTTGATTTACATACCCGAAAGGTGAACCGATAACGCCGCGGAGGGGGGGATCCTATTCTGTTTTTAGAAAGGAGAATCTAGGTGGCCCAACGTACAAGGTTCATTCTAGGAGGGTGCGCCGCTTGATCTCCCCAGGGGGGGGGGGTGGGACCCCCCCCCCGCTTTTCCCCGATCCGTCGTCGGGAGACCCCCCCCTTCCGCCCCCTTCCCGATAGGTCGTCGGGGAACCACCCACCCTCCCTTCCTTTCCCGATCCGTCGTCGGGGGGCCCGCCCCCTCCCTCCTCCCCTTTCAAAACAGGGTGGGGTCCGACCACCCCCCCACCTCCCCCCCTTTGGCCGCCAAAATCGACACCCCCCTTGTCCCCCATTTCGCCACGGCGCCCCCGAGCTCCGGAACCCGACCCCTACCACCCCGAACACTTATCTTTACCCGAACCCTAGCCCCCAACCCCAAACAGCACTCACTACTCATTACGCACTACTCACTACCCACTACTCACTACTCACTACTCACTACTCCCTTCTCGCTACTCACTACTCACTACTCACGACTCACTACTCAATACCCACTACTCACTATTCACCACCCAGTACTCACTACTCCCTATCCCTACTCACTACTTACTCCTCACTACTAGCTCCTCACTTTTCACTACTAGCTACTCACTACTCACTGCCCACTACTCAAAACTGACTACTCCCTCAGAACAACTCACTACCCTCTACTCACTAATCACGAATCACTACTCAATACCTACCATCCCTAACCACTATCCACCACTCACTACTCACCAGTCTCTGTTTATTATTCCCTACTCACAGTCCACAACTCACTACTCACTATTCACTACTCGCTACTCGCTACTCCCTACACAGTACTCACTACTCACTACTCCCTACTCCCTACACCCTGTTCGCTACACAATGCGCACCATTCACAACTCACTACGCTCCCGGTACTCACTACTCCCTACTCACTACTCCCAATTCACTACTCACTATTCACTACCCAGTACTCCTACTCACAAAACATTACTCATTGCCCACTACTCACTACTCGCAAAGTACTACTCACTATCTACCCATTAACCACTACTCATTATTGAGTACGCACAGTTCACTCTCACAACTTACTGCCCACAACTCACTACTCACTATCCGCTGCTCGCTACTCGCTACTCCCTACACAGCACTCGCTACTCACTACTCGCTACTCCCTACTCGTACCCAATACGCAAGATTCAATAATCACTGCTCGCCACTCCCTAGTCCCTGCCCACTAGTCAGTAGTCACAACTCGCTAGACACTACTCACTATTCACTACTCACAACTCACGATTTACTACTCACTACTCAATACTCGCTACTCCCTACGCACTACCCACTACTCAATACCCACTTCTCCCTTTTCACTACTCACGACTCACTACTCCCTACTCACTAATCACTACACAGTAATCACTACTCGCTACTCCCTACTCGCTACTCACTACTGACTACTGCCTCCTCACGACTCACTACTCCCTACTCACAATGCCTTCTTCGCGGCTCACTATTCACTACTCGCTACTTCTTACTCGCTAATCACTCCCCATTCCCCACTACTCACTATACACTACGCACTACTCACTACTCCCTGCGCGCTACTCACTACTCACTCCTCTCTACTCGCTATTATCTTCTCACTACTCACTATCCCGAGGCCAGACCCCCCCCCTTGCGGGAGAGGCCCTCTGCCCAGCCCTCTGTTCGGCGCAAAGGGGGGGAGAGGGGGGGTCGAAAATCTCACACCCACTTTGAAGGGGGGAAGGGGGGGGGTCTGCGAACACAGACACACACACACCCTTTTGTGTATTCAGGATGAGCCACTGGCGCGCTTTCTCATTCTAGGACGTGCAATGTGCTTGGACCAACACGTGTGGTGCGATCTATGCGGTGCAAGTACACTTCGCCACTTAGATGATGGGAGCCACGTTGTTCTGTGTGTTCTGCCGTGGTCCTGTGTGTTTCGCCGTGTTCCTGCGTGTTCTATCGTGCTCCCGTGTGTTCTGTGTGCTCCGCTATGTTCCTGAAAATTCATGTGCTCCTGCGAATTCTGCCATGCTCTTGTATCTTTGTCTGTTCAGCCGTGCTCCTGTGTGTTTTGCCCTGGTTCTGCGTGGTCTACCCTGCTCCTGTGTTCTGCCGCGTTCCTGTGTATTGTGTTCTGCCGTGCTCCTGTAAATTCTGCCGTGCTCCTTTGTTATGCCGTGCTCCTTTGTCCTGTGGGTTCTGCCGTGCTCCTGCATGGTCTGCGCGTTCCGCCGTGCTTCCGTGCCCCCCGGCCCTGCCTCAAGCCGCTCTGGCTCGACGGAGGCCGCAGCGGCCGCTGCCGCGGGGCCGGAGGTCGGCCCCGACCTCCAGCGTGCCCCGGCCAGGCGGGGGGCCCGAAGGGGCGCCTCTTCCTGGCCCTCCCCTTCCCGGCGTTTCGGCGGGCGCCCCTGCCTGCGGCGAAGGGCTCTCGGCCCGCCGTCGTCGCCAGCGCCGCGCGGCCGCCGCGGGCGCCGCCCGCGCCTCCTTCGGCGCGCAGGCCGTCGGGGCCGCCGGCGTCGGCACCAGCGCCTGCCGACCGCTCCCTGGCCGCCCTGGCCGCGCCGTCGCGGCCGCCGTGCGCGGCCCCCGCCGCCACGCCGCGGCCGCCGCTGGCCCCGCTGGTGCCTCGGGCGCCGCGGGCGCCCGAGGCACCGATGGGCCTGCCGCCGCCCTTAGTCGCCGGCTGGGGCCGCGCCGACGCCGTGGCCGCCGACCAAGACGGCTCTCCGAGAGGCCTCCGAGATAGCTCCACCCCAGGAAGGCCCTAAGTCGGCCCCAAAGGAACCAAAGGTCGCCCGAGGGGCACACAGGAGAGCCCCAAGACGGCCCAGAAGCATTCAAATAGGCGACCAAAACGGCCCAGAGAGGCCCCGAGGACTGCCTTCGAAAGCGTCAGGCGGGCCAAGAGCCCCCTTAAGACAGCCCAAGTAGCCCCAAGATGCTCCCAAGGGGCCCCAGGAGGCCCCCAGCAGGCCAGCAGAAGGCTCCCAGGATGCCCCCAGGAGGCCTCAAAAGGGCCCCGAAGCAGCCTTTTCCTCCTAGTCCTCATTTTATCCCCCTCCTCCTCCTCCTCTCCTCCTCCTCCTCCTCCTCCTCCTTCCTCCTTCCTCCTCCTCCTGCTCCTCCTCCTCCTCCCTCCTCCTCCTCCTCCTCCCTCCTCCTCCTCCTCCTCCTCCTCCTCTCTCCTCCTCCTCCTTCTCCTCCTCCTCCTCCTCCTCTCCTCCTCCTCCTCTCCTCCTCCTCCTCCTCCTCCTCCTCCTCCTCCTCCTCCTCCTCCTCCTCCTCCTCCTCTCTACCGCGCGGACAAAGACGATGTCGAGATCACAACCCTCCCCAATCCGGACCTAGCTGAACTGCCGCGAAGTGTGCATGCAACCTCCTTCCTACGGCGCGGACGAAAACGTAATCGAATTCACGACCGTGATCAGACCACTCTGCGGCTTTGCGTCGTTCCTACACTCAGCCTCCTTCCTGCTGCGCTGTTGCATGGGCACGATGGCGGGGTTTGCCGCAGGCAGCTGAGTATCGCCGCCACTGAAGCGGAAAGGCCTGGCGATAGACACTAGCAGCGAGTGAGCGGCACCGACTCGTGCCAACCATCGGAAAGGCGAAGACGAAGAAGACAAGGGATTGGGGTGAGGACGCAGAGGAGACAGGAGCCCCTGCCCCATTTGCGAAGAGCTGGCCGCGTGTCCTCGTGGGTCTGGTACACGGTGCCGCCGCAGAACGGCCCCCTGGTAAAGATGCGGAGTGGAGGAAACACGCGGCAAAAACGGAAACACAAAAATACGAGATCCCATATTCCGTGACCTCCCCCTCCCCCTCCTCTTTTTTCTCCTCCTGCTGCCTCCTCCCCCCTTCTTCTCCTTCAAACTCCTCATCTTCCTCCTTCTGTTCCTCCTCCCTCCTGTTCCTTCCCTGCGTCGGGGACGGGACAAACAGATCAAGAGTTTACGGAATAATGCGGAAGGATGAAGGGTAGACGCATCCCCCCAAAAATGGCTATCCACCTCCTCCCCCCCTGTTCCTCCTTGAACATCAAAACCACGATGGAGGACGGCTTCGACCACTGTACTCCCCATGCTGTCCACGGTGGTGACTCCATCAACATGACCAAGGCGCCCCAACGTCATCTCCTCAAACTATCCTCCGCCTCCTCTTCCGCTTCCCCTCCCCACTGCTCCAACCTCCACCTCTTCTCCGCCACCGTTGCAAAAGGCAGGAGGTAAAGTGTCATTAGGTCTCTTCAGCCCTACGCCTTCAGCCTCCAGGATTGATAAGCCCAGACTTCAAACTGCCAGATTGTCCGGGGCGTACCACGTCCTGGCGCGCTGTCGCGTGATTTTCCAGAAGGAAGAGGGCCCCAAGACAGGCCAAGAGGGCCCCAAGAGGCCCCCAAGCGGATGCACGAGGGCCCCGAATCGCCCCAAGATTGCTCCAGGACGCCCTCCAGACGGCCCAAGAGGCCCCCAAGACGCCTCAAGATAGCCCAAGAGGCCCCCCAAGCGGGCCCCCAGACGCCCAAGCGGGCCCTAAGGCGGCCTAAGATGCCAATAGAGTCCAACAAGACGGTGCTGGGCGCGTTGGCAGAGCATGAGGAGGGGAGGCGCAATGTATGGTGACGGTCAAAAGATGCCTGGGGTGGGGGGGCGTCACGTTGCAGCACCTGAGGCGATGACTAATACATTGGGTTCAGGGCCTGCTATTCAATCGTCATCACCAAATCGTTCCCATCCCCTCCTGCGCTTTGCTCTTGGCCGTCATCCTACTTGATGGAGGCAAACAGGTTGGAGGGGGAAACAACGACGACGACAGCGGCGGGGACGATGATGACGCGTGCCTGCCACCCTGCTCGTGGGCCATGTGGTCGGCGTAGGCGGGGCACGATTTCCACCGAATCATGTCGCGGTGGTACGGGGGCAGCAGCGCCGTCGCGGCGGCCAGAGCGAAGGGGCAGCCCAGCGGCTGCCCGCTGAGGGGGTGGGAATTGGGCGGGCGAATTTTCTGGGATAGGCCTGGTCTGGAGACGGCCCTGTTTTGGGCCGTCTGAATGAAAACGACCTGGGAAGAAACAGTGGAGCCGCTGATCTAAAATAGCTCCCGTGCCCAGAGGGCGCTGGGCAGTCCCTACACGTGGCAGGAGGTGACCCTGGAAAACTGAAGCAAAGTGCGATCAGCAAAAACCTTTGGGCCCAAACCAGCAATTATCCCTGACTCCCTGACCACTCCCTACTTTGACCATCTGGGGCTCTGAAAAAATGGATGTCTGCCGTATGGTCTTTCGCATGGTATGCCGAATGGTCTCCCGTGTGGTCGCACATGTGGTCTCCGGATGGTATCCCTCATGTGGTCTCCAGTGTGGTCTCCCATATGGTTCCCATGTGGTCTCCTGGACGAGTTTCTTCACGGGCTCACTCACGGTATCCACTTATGGCTTTCCTTATGACGTCCTTTATCCGCCACCGTGCCGCTGGGCACGGAGTGGGCATGTCCTCGGGTCCTTTGCCCAATCTCCTGAGTTCCAGCCCTCAGTTCTCAGGTGTCCGTTAGGGGCCCGAACTGAGATCTCTCAAATCTCCTTGGGGCTTGCCGCGCGCCCTCTGGGCTCCTCGCGTCTCCCCGCTTGACCTGTTCTGGCCCAAGCGGGCCCCAAGACGGGCCAAGATGGCCCTAAGAGGCCCCGCGGACGGTCCAAGAGGGCCCCGAGTCGCCGATCGCTCCAAGACGCTCAAGATGGCCCCCAGGCGGCCCAAGAGGCCTCCGAGACGGCCCAAAAGGCCTCCCAAGAGGGCCCCGAGGGGCCAAACTCATGACTTACCTTAGCTGTTAAAAATCATTGGCTCTGTCGCCTGTTCGGCTTCCAGATGCTCTCAGACGTCCCTAAAAGGCTCCCAAGACCACCCCAAGACGACCCAAGAGGCCTCCAAGAGGGCCCCAAAACGGCCCAAGAGGGCCCCCAGATGGCCCAGGAGGCGCCCAAGACGGCCCGAAAGGCCCCAAAGATGGCTCCAAGAGGGGGCCGAGATGGAGGACCCGAACAGACTTTACGAGCCCTCGGCCCCGAGGGGCCCCCATGAGGCCCCAAGAGACTCCCAAGAAGTCCCCAAGACGCCCCAGAAGGCCCCCAATAAGCACCGAAGAGGTTTACAAGAGGCCCTAAAACTGTCCCCAAGAGGCCCCGAGAGCGTTCCGAAGAGACCTCAAGAAGCATCCCTGAGAACTCTGACCCATCACCCAGGCAGGGTGGCGGGATGGGCCGAAGGCAATGGGGTAAGTGCCCCCCCGAATGTCTTCCCTGATGGTATCCCGTACAATCAACTAGTATCTCGTATGGTCCTCTATGCCTCACGTATGTGCCGCGTCGTATCCCCCTCATGGTCTCCTATTATGGTATCCCTTCTAATACTCTCTAGAATGCTCTTCATATAACTATTCGCATATGTAGTACTCGCTATACTGATCTCTTGACTGCTCTGGAGAACAGCTTAGAGCTGTCTGCCAACAAAGATGCTGTTTGCTTCGCAGCGTGGCTCACGACAAGTATGAACCCACTTCTCTAGGGCAGCTTTTCATCCCGAATCGTTTCTGCTGTCCCCGGGGGCCCAGTAAGGGCCCTTACTAAGTCCCCAGTTGACAATCCGGCCAGCCTTTCAGGGCGTGAGAGGCCTAAAGGGATTCGTCTTCCAACCCCCTTCCCCGTCGGGGAAGGGTCTATCTTTGCTCCTGATCAATATTCGCCCCCTCCCCAACCCGACTGTGGATCAACCCGAAACATGCCACCCTCTCCCCACCATTCGGGCGTTGGCAGAACTGGGTTTAGTGGAACCTGTTTTAGTGATCTGTCCCGGGGGCGCCCCCCCGTCCCATTTCCAATGACCGGAACTGCCGTCACCCGAAAAGCACCAGCTACGGCAAACCTGGTTTCGTGATTCTGGCCAATTCAAAGGCTCCGGGGCCCTACCACTGACCGGGTCCCCTTACCTTGGGGTCCTGGCTATACCCGAACCGTCTCTGTCGACAAACAATGCAGGATGCACTTTGCCTCCACATCTGGGACGTGCGCGGGCGCCCCGTGACCCGGCGGGGGGGGTGCGTCACATTGCTCGCTGCGCGCAGGCCAGCCATCCATGTCGAAAGACAAAACAAGATGCACTTTGCCTCCAAACCTGGAGCGTGCGCTGACGCCCCGCGACCACTTTGCATGCGTTTTTGACAGGGGCGGCGGGGGTGCCGTCATATTGCTCGCTGCGAGCAGGCCGACCATCCGTATCAAAAACCAATGCAACCTGGCGCCGCGCGACCACTTTGCATTGGTTTGTTGACAAGAGCGGCGGGGGTGCCCGCATATTGCTTAAACGTGGAGCGCGTGCCGCACCTGGCGCGCCTGGCTCGCTTGGGCCTCCCGGGTGCCTGGTGCACCTGGAATGGAACCCGTGACGCACATGGCATGCGTGGCGCTCCTAGGCTTGCGGGCGAAGCGGGGCCTCGACCCCACCCCCTACCCTATCCCCTCCCCCTGAGTCTGAAGGGAGCGTTGCGCGGGTCGTTGTAGCGTCGAAGATGGCCTCGGCGAGGAAGCCTACATCATTGATAGTTCTAAAGTATTCGTCACATGCTGGCCTCTGGGAAGGGGCACTAATGTACTACGGCCCGTCCTTTGATCGATCTCCTCCAAGATAACCCAAGATGGCCCCCGAGTGCCCCAAGATGGCCCCGAGAGGTGCCCAGGAGGCCCTAAGAGGCCCCCAAGAGGCCCCCAAGATGCGCCCAAGAGGCCTCCAAGAGACCCTCAAAAGGCCCCCGAAGGCTCCCCAGGGGCGTTGGCCACACGTTGGCCTCCTGGGGGGGGACCCTAATGTACTAGGCCCCCTCCTTTGATCGATCTCCTCCAGGATGGCCCCAAGATGGCCCCCGAGGCCACAGAGGTGCCACGAAGAGGCTCCCAAGATAACCCCAAGAGGCCCCAAAAAGCTTCCCGAGACACCGAATACGTCCCCAGGACCGCCAAGAGACCCCAAAGACATCCCAAGATTACTCCACGAAGCTGTCGGAAGAATTTCAAAGAGACTCCGAGAGGCCTCCAAGATTATTCTGGCCTTTTCTGCTCGCCCTCTTCCTCCTCATCATCTTCCTCGTCCTCGTCGTCCTCCTCCTCCTCCTCCTCCTCTCCTCCTCCTCCTCATCGTCGTCATCGTCGTCATCGTCGTCGTCTTCATCGTCGAACGCATCGGCATCATCATCATCATCATCATCATCATCATCATCATCATCATCATCATCATCATCATCATCATCATCATCATCATCATCATCATCATCATCATCATCATCATCATCATCATCATCATCATCATCATCATCATCATCATCATCAGATCATCATCATCATCATCATCACCATCCACCACCACCACCATCAGCATCATCAACACCAGCATTACCATCACCATCGCCATCACCATGACCATCAATATCAGCATCATCATCAGCATCATCAGCATCACCATCGTCATCCTCCTCCTCTTCAGCATTATCATCAACATGTCATTATCATCCGCATCAGCATCAGCATCAGCATCATCCTCGTCGTGGTCGAAATCAGCGTCGTCATCAGCATCAGCATCATCATCATCAGCCTCATAATCAGCATCCGCATCTAAGCATCAGCATCCGCATCTCAGCATCAGCATCACAATCAGCAGCAGCATCATCATCCTCATCCTCATAATCATTATCATCATCACAATCACCGACACAATCATCATCAGTTTCATCATCATCATCAACATCAATATCATCATGATCATCACCACCACCACCATCATCATCATCATCACCGGCAGCAGCAGCATAATCGTCGTCGTCATCATCAGCACCATCATCAGCATCAAAATATTCAGCATAATCTCCATCATCATCATCGTCAACACCACCACCATCATGAGCACCATCACAATCATCATTCTCTTCATCATCATCATCGGCATCCTCAGCATCATCATCATCATCAGCAGCATCATCCACATCCTCATCCTCATCCTCATCCTCGTCTCATCCTCAGCACCATCGTCATCAGCATCACAATCACCATCTCCGTCATTATCACCATCACCATCATTATCACCATCACCATTATCATCACCACCAACACCATCACCACCCGCATCACCATCATCATCACCACCATCAGTATCATCACTATCACCATCAGCTCCAACAGCATCATCATCAGGATCATCAGCATCATCATTATCATCACCATGTTCATCATCAGCATCACCATCAGCATCAGTAACAGCATAAGCGTCACCATCACCAACATCATCACCACCATCATTCTCATCATCACCACCATCACCATTCAGCAGCTCGAACGACGCCAAATTCGAGGTGTCCACGAGGTCGTAGGTCCCGACGTGGCGCAGCATGCTCAGCAGAAGTCGCACCCCCTGCGCCACCGCGGCGCCCCGCAAGACACCTGACTCGGCCGCCCAATGGCCTCGGCACGAAGTGGGCGCGAGGCCGGTCGCGAGGATCGCCGAGAAACAACTCTGGCAACGCCGTCGGCCCCCGGAACGGCCAGTCGTCGGCGTCGACCGGGCTCACCTTGGAGAGGGCGTTGGCCAGCGACACGGGCGGCCCACGCTTGCGCAGGGTGAGGGGTGAGATACGCGCGTCTCGACCCGGCCCCCCCGCTTTTCGGCGCGCCGCGCCTCCTCGTCCGCCATTTGGACGTTCTCGACCGAGCCTCATCCCTCGTCGCCCGACATCGCGATGTCAACGGCGCCCCATCGTCACCAGCTGCTCCGGCTTGAATTGCCCGCGAGGTGAGCGCCCAACTCCTGCCCGAAATCGACCGCGCCGCGGTCAGAGACGATCCGCCGCGGCACGATGGCACCAGGGGCCCCCGTCGGAACCGTGACTCTCAGCGCCTCGATGTCCTCGTCGCTCTGGAAACCGAACGCGCGCGCC